CCATACATGTGCACTATGGGCTCGGGAGGAGTCAGCTGCTAAGCAGGACAGGCAGCCGTGGCAAAACACCCAGAGGGCCAGATAAATGTCCTAGGCGGGCTGCATGTGGCCCGCCGGCCTTAGTTTGAGGACACATGCCGGTGTGCACAGCATAGTTGGAATTTATGGAATTTAGTGATTAGTGTAACTCATTAACCCAATAGCTAGTAAATTATAAAACTCTAGACTCTTTTTTAGCATGCTCTCTACCATGGCTAAATATGAAGTGAAAGAAGCTGGCATTACTCAAACGACTAGAGATTTGATGGGTACCTATATTAGCAAGAGTCCACATTGGAATGACAGTTTTCTCACATTTACAGGCTGAGGGGATTTAAAAATGAGGAATACTGATCAAGGGGAGCCATATAGCACCCAGATGGGGTGCACATGTTGTTGTCATTCAGATTAAGATAAAAATGCAAACCAGTAAAATAAGAATGAACCAGTTAAAGTATTTTTTTAAATTTTCTTTTTGTAATGAGAAATAATATGCACTTCCAGACTGAAAGCCAACAATGCAGTACTGTTACAGAAGCTTTTACAGAGTGTATTGTTCAAGGAGGTATAAACAGGGCAGCTGGGAGGTGGCATGAATTTAGTGTTTCGGGGGGCGGGGGGAGGGGTGTGTGCTAACCACCTGTAACTTCAGCTGTTAACTCTGCAGAGGAAGTCAAAAGCTTCTCATCAAGTGGAACATTCTTAACTCTTCTTTCTAATCTAAATTGGAGATGTGAATATAAAACAATCATACACAATCTCCTAGTATAAATGGACACCTATTTTAATATTTTATACTCTCCTTCCTTACCCCATAAAGTTTCTAATTTCAGCTGGTAATCTTATGGTTAACATCTTAACTGTGGTAGAACAGACCTCGGTATCTATTTTTCCATGAATGTTTGTCTATTTGATATAGTTTTGTATGTAGGAATCTATCCAAGGTTATAACTTAGTGGCCATGGGCCTAAATTCAGTCCAGAGATATATCTTTTGTTTTGCCAGCATAGGTTTATTTTATTTATTTAAATTACATGCCAACACTTGAAAAATTGATGAATCCCATAACAATTTGAATTTCCAGATAATCTGACAACACTGAGACTGCCTTTCATACGCTAATATCATCTTCAACCTGAATAGTGAGCCACTCTTTGAAAGAATCATATACTTTCTAAGATCCTCTCAGCCCTATTGTCTATCATACACTGTGGGCAAATATCTCTCTTTCTCTCTCTCTGATTAAAAAGCTAAACTAAACTAACTTATAAAAACACACACAAAACCTACCTCCTAAGCATTTGAGTTTGGAATTCCTGATCTCTTTCTTACTTCCTTGATATATATAGATAAATACAAATATACAGATGTGTTAGGTTGAACCAAATAAAATTCGAACCAAAACCAGAAAATTTCATATGGATCAAACCTAACAAAAATGTTTATATTGTTGTTGCATAGATGAAGCATATGTTTAAAATCAGACTTAGTTTCTACTGCAATAACTAGAAAGAATACTTTCCCCATTAAAAAAATATTTTGCAGACTGACCTAAATGTATTTTCATCATGTCTTATCTATTTTTCTCTGTGATGTTTTTTTAATTCCCCATTATCCTTCTACCTCTTTTTTCTACTCTTCTCCATAAGCCTAGTTCAAAGTCTGTGTCTGCCATAAGTCTCCTTTGAATACCCAATTTCTCACTAATTTTTCAGGTCAATAAATTCATAGCATTCATAAGCTATATCACATATTTTACTGCTCAATTTTACATAGTCTTTCTTTGTTTTCTGTGCCCAGAAATATGTTGTTATAGTAATCTGAAAACTGAGGTCCATATTTTACAAGTAGTCTTGGATCTCAACAAGAGTTTAGCACTTGTTGATTGATTATTTTCTTATTAGTAAACTAGTTTGTCAACATAAATTTTCAAAAAATAAATATCCCCTTTTTGAGGGGAAACAATTCACTGAATGGAAGCTCTTTGACTATATTAGATAACTTTATTCTTCTTGATGCATGTGGCTATTGAGTCATTGTGGTTTAGAATGTCAATATCTTTAACACTAATACTTAGGTCACACACAAGGCTTATGAAGAAAAATCCATCTCATCATTTTTCATAGATCCCTGTCAGAGGTAAACTCACTCGTTTTCAAAGCGTCTTTAAAATATAAAACCCAGATACAGAAAACCACATGCAACAAATTTATAGCTTAATGAAGTATTATAAATTGGAGTTCAGCATGTTTCTTTGCTGTATTTTCTGAAAACTGGCATTTAGATCTAGAGACTTGCTCTAAGTAGTTTAGATCCATTTGGCAAGATGCTAGCAGGTAGTGTGTTCTTTCATCAGGAAGTACATAAAGTCTAGTTGTCTCTCTTTATCTTATCAATGATTAATGCTTGCTAGAATTATATTCTGAGATCATAACCTCAGAAGTGACCAATTATTATTATTCTTTAAAATATCTGTGTGAATTTATGCATTTATGTATATTTGATGGGTTTCAATGCAGTGTAACTCTTTAGGTATGTTCAGATTATCCTTATGTTTGGTCTGTGGGAGCCTCTTCAAATTGACACCTAAATCCTTTTGACATGATTCTATTAGTCTTTGATTGCTTCCTTTCCAGCTAGGATGTCAAGATGTTTCAGGTTAAGTTGGCACATTTCCTACTTCAGACTAGGAATCAACCCGTTCTGCAAGAAGCCCTTGTTTCTTGTAGTAGGACGTATTTTCTCCAAAACTGTAGTCTGCATGCCAGGGATATTTGTTGCTATTGAATCCATGTTTCTACATTTTTTTAGTGGACAGAGCTAGAGCAGGGATAAAATACCTTTTGAGTTTAAACTTATTTTTGTAATTCAATTTTAGAAACCTAAGATATTATTTAACCTCTTCTGTGTTACATCTGTATGTCCTTTCATCTACACCAAGAATCTGGTTCTCAAGGACACAAGGAATGATTGAATAAGAACATCTCATGTTCACTCATTTGCTTTATGCCATATTACATTAGTCTCAAAATAACAATAATAAAAGTATTACCATTAATAATAATTATTGAAACATTTATTTTTGCATATAATGTCCTTACTCTTCCTTAATTTTGTCTTACAATTGTATTATATCTACAATGTCAGAACATGTAGCCATTAAAAAAGAATCTCTTCCACTTAGCCCTCACTTAGTCTTAGTTCATTAAATTTATTATTCACCAATTAGCTATTAGGTTGACGTCTCCTCGGGTCATTTCGTATGTCTAAAGCTTATTGTCTAGGATCAGAGAACAGTATTACACAACTGTTTGCAAGTTGATAACAGATAAACTATACCCTTTATACTTAAAGTTAACTTTTGTTGACCATAAAATCCTTGAATTATATTTTCCTATGTTGAATATCTAAAGTTAATGACTCTAATTTCTTCTGACATAAAACGTTTTTGTCAAAAAGCTTGATAATGATCTAATTTATTTCCTTATAAGTCATATATTACTTTTGTCTGGATGCCTAAAAGATTAAGTTGGCAAAATTTTCTTACATTACATTTTTAGTATTTATTCTGTTTTCCCCCTTTTGTTTTTCTTCTTCAAGGACTCCTATTATCTATATGTTAGATCTTCCTTCCCTAACTTTAATATTTGTCATTTTCTCTTGAATCTTTTTTATTCTTCCTAATTTCTCTTTTTGTTGTTTTTCATTTGTATATATTTGTTCATATACTTACCCTTTATATTGAAAATTGTTTGTTATTCAAATATAATTATTTTGTGAGTCATGCCACCTCACTTCTGAGTTTTTCTGATTTCTGTTACTCTTTCATATCTGACATCATTATCTTAATGTTGTTCAGTTCATTTTGAAATAATAAATTGCAGTTTTGATCTATTTTTCTTGGATATTTTTGTTCTACTTTTGATTTTTTTTTTTTTGGTACTTATTTTTAGGAATGATATCCTCCTCTTTATTTTATTTTTTTCTTACGGTAATTTTGTAAGGAATTTTACTGCGATAAATTTCTGTTGTTCACATTTACATGACTGGTGTCCCTGCACTTCCAAAAGTTCAAATAGCTCTTCTAAATATATAGAGCTCCCTTTTCTGTTGTTTTCATTAGGCAGGGTTCAGTGAACTAGCCACGGGTGGAATCTGGTCCAAGTCCTGTTTTTATAGAAGCCCTGGGGAAAAAATGATTTTTACGTTTTTGAAGAGTTGTAAACAAACAGATACATACATAACAGAAACAATGTGATCTTCAAAGCTAAATATTTACTATGTGGGCCCATTATGGATGAGTTTGCCAATGCCTCAAACAAACTAAAAAATATTACAGCTTGCTTTCTGAACTTATAATATAGTTGTTCTTCTCTCCTACTTTTATCTGGACTTTCTCTCCTCTTCATTTATATTGCTTCAGTCTTGCTTACATTTCACATCTGTTCCCAGCAGTTTTTTTCCCAATTTGGTCCCTGCCCTGGAGAGGAGACTGCTGGTCAGTTTTGAGTGTTCATATTTGCTTTTCTCGAGCTGCTCTGCTGCATGTTTCAGCATTACCTGACAGGTAGAATTATTCTGTTTTCAGGTTTGATGCTTTCCTTTGATTTTTCTTACACAGATGTAAATAACACAGAGATCCATGTGACTGTTGATGGACCACACCACTTGTAATTTAGGGTTTGAGGACACACCTTATCATGTAGCTTTGTAGTAAATGCTAAATGCTCTTGGTTTTCTGTCTAGTGGTTCAGTCACTTGTCATATGGGGATTGAGGAAGATCAAAAAAAATCTATATTACCACCACTGCTGCTTTCTCCCCAGAATACAACTCACTCATTTTGAAACAACAATTTACTTAATAGATTATGTTAAATTTGTTTTCAGGAAAATGTTTACCCTGGGTATTTCAGTACACTAAATAAATCAACATATTTGTATTGTTTCTGTTTTTCTCCAGAGTCAAGTTCCCATTATGTAATCTCCCTAAAAGCTTTTAACAACGCAGGAGAAGGAGTTCCTCTTTATGAAAGCGCCACCACCAGATCTATAACAGGTAAGCAGAAATTATTAATCCTCTTGTGACAAGATAGTGTTTGAGTTATGGTAAAAAAAAAAAAAAAAAAAGAAAAAGAAAGAAAAAGAAAAACTCATGTAAAACAAAACAAAATACAAAGGAAAAAACCAAAAATGAACGTATGCAGTCATCTTCTGTGCCTTATTTGTGTGTGTGTGTGTGTGTGTGTGTGTGTATACACAGACATATGCACACAATTTTTTATTCCTTTGGCTTTCAAATTTAAATAGGAGGAATTCAGTCTATAAATTATCATATAGACTTAGAGAATATAGATCTCTCATTCTCTCTTCTCCCAGTAGCTTCCTATTTTTCATATCCTGATAACACTCTTCATTCTCCTGAACATCTTGTCTCAAATCAATGCCATTTAGGCAGGAAAATCCCTGCATAAAAGATTCTAAATGCCCAAATTAACACTTGCTTCTCTGCATAGGGCCCTTCAAGCTAAGATGAGACCAGCAAGCTAGCTTCCTGAAGTGGTATAGACTAGGCTGACCGACATAGGCGGCAGCTTCCTGAGCGGGGCCTGCAGGTCACCCCAGCTGTGCCTGAGGCCTCAGGACATTGAAGGGAGTTGCTGACCCAAGGGTTTATCACCTCTAGGAATTCCTATGTGAGTTGGACTGTAAAGGCAGCACACATGAGCAAAAGGACTCAAGAAATTGAGAAGGGAACCAGTAAGATGATGAGATCCAGGCCATTTTTGAAGGCTAATTTTTTTTAGTAAGTCTGAGCTTATTCCAAAAAAAAAAAAATAAGTAATATTTCTGCGGGGCTGTTCAGAATCATTGGAAAGTCACTTGGCCACCCCTCCCACCCCATGGACTTATGGTTGAAATCTTGAAATAAATCCCAAGAGTTCCATCTCTAATTAATACTTTCAACTCTCTCTCCTACCAAAACCCACACCCCTCAGCCCTCATTTAACTTGTCAGCTATTTTCACCTTGATGAGAATAAAGGATCTGAGATAGCAGGTGCTAGATTTGATAGCAAGAACCAAAGAATATGAAATGTTGCTGGAGTTTAAAGTCCAGATGAGTAAGAGTAAATGATTATAAAATAAATAGTGGAAATCCTGTGGCTTCTGCTACTGCCCAAATTTCTGTGAGCTTTGTGCAGTTTGCTTTCCAAATGCACACCTTCCATTCATAGACTATCTTGAGAATATGCTTGTTATATGAATTCACAATTGTTATGTGATGGCTTCTGGAATATACTATCACTTTACTGATTTCCAGATTTTCTTGTAAGGCAATGTTGTTATTCCAGTCTCCTTGAATCTTCAGCCATTTTTTTTAAGGTCTAAGATTTACCTAAAATAGGATACAAAATTTAGGGCACATGTCAATATATTCATTTATCTATGGAGACAGTAGATATCTTTCATTGTGTTATCAGAGGGGCTCATGACTCCTTCAAAGGGGTAAATAATTACCCTAGAGACTATTTTGTGTCAAATATGTTATCTTCAAATATAGGGAGATGAAGCAAATAGGTCCCGGATGAAAACTAAGAGATAACATGATGGGTGGGTATCTGGGGTTTTCATTTTCCCTTATTATCTTGCTCTGCCAGCAATAGGATTCTTTGAGAGACAGCAGGCTGCTTTGGCTGTACTGGTGTTTCTCATAATTTCTATTTAGTACACCACCTCTTTCCAGCCTGTGGTAAGAGATGCTGAGAAGCTACTCATTGCCATGACGACTTTGGCTTGTGATCAGGACACATAAAATGATACTGTGGTCAGTCTTTTGAAGCTCTTACCAAAACTAAGGCCCACAAAGAAGAACATTAAGGTGACAAATAAAAATCAGTTTTTGAACAGAAAGTAGTACCAATAAAGGTAGTACAATTCAAATAACCTGAAGGTAAGTCGCTCAGAGAGAACCGTTTGAGGCATTATCAACTTCTTTCCCTTTAGCATTTGTTGTCATTTTTTAAAATTCTCAGCATATGGCGTTCCCAGAAAGATTTCTAAAGCACCAGCGATCCATAAGACAATTTTTATTCCTGATATGACCTGAATCCTAATGAATCTGAGAAATGAAATGATTCTCAGAGTTGAAAATTGTGTGAGGAATTTTCTTATTGAAGAAAAGCCAGTTACAGTGTTGAAGAGGAATTCATGAATACAGTTCTTTATTAAGGAAAAGGACACACTTTTTCTGGAAGTGGCAGAATTATTGTATTGTGTTTCCACATGTCATGAAGAACTAAGGACAAATAAATGGAATCAAAGGTTAAGGTTCTGGGAGAAATTCTATCAATAAATGTGTCAGCACCATGTAAAAGATACTCTCTGTCTCTGAGCTTCTTCAAAGTATTCCCATGAGCAATGTTTAAAAATGGCTGGTATAAAGTAAACACAAAATATATCCTAGGCAATAAAATCTCAAGCTAGAATAAGCATTAGACTGTGAAGTTTTCTGCTCATAGATGGTGAGCTCTGGATCCTTATTTCATACTGGGAATATCAATATTAGAGCTGTTGAAAGTCTCACCTGGCCAAGTGCATTCATTAAAAGTTTCATTTTTGCTGTAAAGCCTTTCATTTCTTGTTGCAAGAACAAGCCATTTTGAGCCTGAGGAAGGGAAAAAGGCAAATAAAAATCAGGCGAATAAAAAAATACACCCTTTGAATTGGTTTATGATCAATTGTCTTAGCAATGTTTATATGAAGGACAATCTAGATGTAAAGTTGTGTTATTATTTTTAAAGTTTACTTTGAATTTTAGTATCATGACTGAAAATTCATAGGCTCTTACCAAAACATCTATTAGGGATTGGATAGGTTTCTTTCTTAGTCAAAGGTTTGAGGCTATATTTTGTCTGTTTTAAAAGTTTTTTCTCCTCCTTTGAATACTGAAAATCGGCAACATATAAGACACTCAGGAATAGGAATGAAAAAAAATACAGAAAGAGTTGTTTAGCATCAAAAGAATGTTTTAAATTCAATTACTCAAATAGTTTTCTGATATGAGGAAAAAAGACAATTAGCAAACTATGCAATATGTATTCATAGTAGTGCTTGCTATCCACTAGAATGTTCTGCTTTTCTGGAAATGTCCTATAGCTGCACTATCCAATATGGTAAACACTAGGCCCTTGTGGCCATTGAACACTTGAAATTGACTAGTGCAACACAAGAAGTGATATTTTAAAAATTTTATTTAATATTTACTAATTTAAATTTAGATAGTTTGTATAACTAGTGGTTATTTTATTAAACAGTCCTGTTCTAGTGGCAGTGGCAAGTAGAACGACAAGCCATACCTGAAAAAAATCGTTCACTAAAATAGGAAAGGAAAACGTGGCCAAGGGTAGAAATTTCTGGACTGTGCAAGTCCATTAATAAATACCAACAAACACCATTGCTTGTAATTTGAGAGAAGCATTCTGGAACTGACTCCAACAAACTCAATAACACTAGTCATGAATAATAAATATTATAGAATTTTAAAATCAGAAATGACAGGATTGAGTATTACCATTTCTTGAAGTAGAATCACTAGGTTTCCAAACCTTATGGTACCAGTGAAAAATAATAAAGTGAATATATATTTACCAACAAAACTGGATTAAGCAAAGAAACAAGAAAGAGGGTAATCCACTAATACAGATAGGTCAAAAAAATGAATTTGTAAATCATAATACTTCCCCCAAGTGTAAAACATTCTTCTTGTAAAGCCATCTAAGAATAGAAACGAGTACAGTGAGGCAGCACCTGCTTCGATTTAGCAAATGTGCCTTCCACAGCTACACAAACTTTCTGAATGATTGGGGTTCTCGTGGAGGCTGCAATGTCTTCTGTTCCTCCTTCATCATTTTATAAATCCATTTGGGTTTAAAGGAGCCTTTAATAAAAAGAGACGTCAAAGGAACTATAGAAAGCCTGGGCTCTGTCATTAAATTTTAAACACACATTTCTCTGTCTCTGTCTCTCTCTCCTTTCCTTTTGTTATGTTTTGTTTTTGGTTTTATATTTGGCCCCAAAGACCACAGACCAGTAAACTACTAAATAATTCATAGGAAAACAGAGTGATGAATAGAGGATAGGCATCTGAAATGCAGTGGACAAAGTGAAGCAATCATCAAAACCAGCCAGTAGCCTCTCCGCTTTGAACTAGGCTGTTTAAAAATATAAACTCTGTATGTGCGTGGCAGCAGACACTCTGTGTGTTACTAGGTCTTATCTCCCCAAATGTCATCATACGCCCGGCCTCAGAGCTGCGTTATCTCATCTCTATTTTTTTTTTTTGTAATGGGAATACATATTACATAATATAAAGGTAAATTTTTTAAAACGTTCAATGTCTTAAGTATAAAATAAAATGCTCAAAATGTGACTGTTACTATGGCCACAAAATAAGCTTCTCTGATTCTGATATCCCCAGCACAAAAATGATTACAAGATTTTTTTTTTTTGGAGAATTTTGTAAAGCATACACGTCATTATGCAGATGCCCATTATGTTATGGATCAAAGCGTGTATATACCTCAGTGCACATCTCATCAGTCTGCAGGTACTTAATCCTGTCTTCCCATTAAATAATATAAAGTCTGTCCACTGAACTTGAAATTTTAGAAGAATGTAGGATGTAGGATATAGGAATGCCTGCCAAGACTGCAAACTTAGCTAATTACTCTGTGAGAATGTGGATAAAATCACACGACTACACCTTCTCTAAGGCTTCTAATCTAAGAAGGCCTGCCATGCCAGGTGCTATCTGAAATGTAATTATCAAATATACAAGTGATCCATGTGACCATGTGTCCCTGGTCACTATGGCTTTGTGAAATCACAGCCATATACAGGTTGCTGTGGATGTCAGGGTACTTTTTTCTTTACTATTTGTTGGTTTTTTGCCTAAACAATATTTATGCAAATACAAGCTTCAGCAATAATGAAAGCATTAGAGAAACCCAATCAAGTTAGAGAAGGAGGAGGAAAAACAAAACAAGTATCACATAAGCATTTATTTTCTTTTCAGGAGGATATAAACCAGAAACCCCTTTTTGTCTTGTTACTCTATCTATATAGCAATTAAACTGAAAAATTCTATACTGGATATTTTAAGAAGCAATGTGCAACATTCCAAAATAAATGGACTTTAAAAATATATAACTAGAAGTGACAGCCAAATTAATAAAATCAGTCTAAGGGAATGAGTAAATTACAGAAAATATTCAGTTATTTTTGTAATGTAGCACTACTGTTTCTAATGTGTTTTCCGATTGAATTAATTGCATTTTTTTCTGTTCTTCTCATGTTCCCTTTCATCATTATTGCCATGCATTTAACTCATTGTGATGTGTTACCACTGATATTTATTTTTGAACGCTTTTATTTACATATCTGTTTGTTTCATTTGGTGGGTTTTTTAACCCAGATCCCACTGACCCAGTTGATTATTATCCTTTGATTGATGATTTCCCCACCTCGGTCCCAGATGTCTCCACCCCCATGCTCCCACCAGTAGGTGTACAGGCTGTGGCTCTTACCCACGATGCCGTGAGGGTCAGCTGGGCAGACAACTCTGTCCCCAAGAACCAAAAGACGTCTGAGGTGCGACTTTACACTGTCCGGTGGAGGACCAGCTTTTCTGCGAGTGCAAAATATAAGGTGAAGTTCTTCTAACTGATGGCATGAAATTTAAATTGAACTGTCATTTGTTTAATTTGTTGTTTTAAATGTTTCCTGGATTGTCATGAGTCATTTTGCTGCAGTGACTCTATGTGAAAAAAAAAACAAAGCATTTTAATAACTCAATATCTAAAATTAACATGGGAGTAATTGTATCTTAGGAGACAGTTCTAAGGCAAGTCAGGGAAGCTTGTATCAAGAGCTGCAAAATGTTATTTGAGTTCCACAAGATGTTAAGTTTATAGAAATAATTTGATTCTGTTGAAGGGAATGTCATTTTCCCTTTTTAAAATAGCAGGGCTCCATGTTAGTCTTCTGGGTAGATTTTGGTATCTTTCTTTTCATTTGGAGTCTAGGTTGACTCCAAAGGCAACCCTATTAATGTCACAGAGACCCACCCTACAGACAGGTTGGCTGGGAATAGATAACTTGAAGATATTTTTTATAACATCCTTAGCACTCTAAGCCATTAACATCTACTTTCTCAATTAACCTTGAAAACACTTTCATGTGGAGAAGAAAATCCACAATCCACACTCCTCCTTAGCTAATATGAATAATACCAGCCCTCTACTCTTGTCTTTATCACGGAGTCATCTCACAACCTCTTTAAGAGCTCCTTAGAAATAAATATTTGAGGCACTGCCATTACCGTATTCAAATCTCTACCAGACAGCCTCAGTGATTCTAACACATACTTATATACCGAGACAATTGTTTACTTCCTCAACCTGCTACAATATTACTATATATACACAGTACACAGATGCAGACAAAAATGAAATCAGCAAGTGATTGTCAAGCACCTACTGTGTACCTGGAACTGCACTAGATTGTAGAGACAGTTTATTTTGAAAGAAAACATGTTTTATTTGTTGTTACTTAACATACTACTAATATATAAAAATTTGGAATGAGTTATATACTCAGCTCGATAGATATACTTGAAAGAATTCATAAGCCATCTAAGTGGGATAATATACAAAAACACATTTAAAACTTAAAGCTTCACAAGATGATGACTGGGGACAAATAAGGTAGCTTTGAAAATAAGAGCATAAATGCCACCCACCAACCAAGGAATCAAACAGTTCAACCCTGTCACTCTGCCTTCTTTATACTCATTTTTATCTCTTTTCTTTACCACTCTCGTGGGGTAGCTCTCAGGGAGAATTTGGATCTCCTGATACTTTATCCGATGTTCTTTCCACTGAACTCTCATCCCCCTGAATCCAGCCTCAAGCCAATAGTGATTTCCAGGGAGAAGAGGTCAAAGTATCCTTTGGGAATTTCTGACTCCAGATTGGAGCTATAGCAAAATCCCACCAGTAATTTTGTTAGTCTCCCTCTTTCTTCCTGTAGCTGTGCTGGATCTGTCTCTAGTGTCTTCCAACTTTTAAGTGGCATAAGATTCACATTTCATCACAAAACAGTGTTATTTTGAAACCATTTAAAAAACAGTTTTCTTTGGTACTTCTTCCCTGCTAGGTCAGATATTTGTAAAAACTCTCCAGGCAAGTCCAAACAGTATCATTGATATAAGATACGTTGTAAGTACCCTATCCATTTCCTTACAGTCATAGATTCAAAACTCGGAAGAACTATAAATAAAGATAACATTACCAGAAAAGACAACTGATGAAACATATGAGAGTATTAAAAAAACAACAACTCTCTTTATATATAGGTTATCCAATTCTAAGTTTACTTTTAAAAGACTACTTTCTCTACTTTAAAAATTTTATGTCATAATTGCTGTACCTTATAGATACATTCATTTCACAGAATGGCCACAGCTACTTTGCCAGAATGTAAAATGTTCTAAAGGACAATGATTGTTTTCTACAGAATGGTTTGAGTTCCAGAATTTTTTAGGCAAGTTATTCCAGTTGAATAGTTAGTATAGCAGACTTGGAATTATTGAGTTTCACAAAGAATGCCTATGAAGTGTGATTTTAACTATTCTTCTTAACATTCATCTTCTCTGACATATGGCTTATGGTACTAACATACCACCCCACTTCTCTCTCTCAGATACACACACACACACACACACACACACACACACACACACACACACACATTCTGCATCCATACCCTGAGATGAGGAGGATGAGAGGAAAGAGTTGGTTAAGTTGACCAGCAAGGTCAGATATAGACCCTATCTGGTCTAGCAGACATATATACAATAAATTTAAATTTTGCAAATAATGGTAACAGGTGCTTTGGGTTTGCACTTTGTACTTGTCGGACCACTGGCATATCTATTACTTCATCTCACTTCCCACTAAAGCTTAATAAGGTAAGTAGGACACACACAAGGTAGTAGGAAAAAAAAATCCTACATAGAGTCAAACAATCTGGGCTTAAGAGTTGGCTTTTCTACATGCTGTCCTGTCACTTAACTTGCTCAGCCTCATTTTTCTCATCTCTATGATGGGGATGTTTACACGTACTGTAAAAATAATACTATTCTTCATAGTTAGGTATGTGTATATGAATGTTTATGAAGATGTAGGTGGGCGGTATAACTTGGCAGAAATTCCCCATTAAACTAGAGCTGGAACTCAGGTGACCCAATGACATCATCTAGGGCTTCCCTACAGGAGTACACTTCTACTTCATTTAGACTCAAATCAAGCCATAATCCAGACACTCGTATTTAGATAATCCACAACTCTGTATTGATTTTCCTAATCAAATGGATTTTTTATATCTTCTTTTCTAATGAAGTACCTAATCACATGATGTTTTACACAAATTTTCATTCAAAATACATTTATTGACTATTGACCAGTGCTTATTAGATGTAGCAAGGTGTTACAGAGGATGCAAAGTTATGTAGAACTAAGTCTCACTCCGCAAAATGATCACAACTCAATGGAGAATTTAACACGTGCCTAAAATTATATACATAACATGAGCCAATGTGTGAAGTAGGGTAGCTAACATTTATTTAACACTTTCTCTGGGCCAAGTAGTATGTTTTATGTGACACATATCACATTTTGAATAATCCCATGAGGTCAGTGCCATGGTTGTCTCCATTTTACAGATGAGGAAACTGAGGCTCAGACAGGTACTACCCAGATATTTTATGCTCATAAAAATAACTGGCCATGATTCTCCAAAGTATTTCTAGACTTAATGAGTCAAGATAAGCAGTAATTGTCTATGAGGTTTGAGAGAAAACTCAGTAAATTCATGGTATTTATAGAATGCAAAAGCATCATTCTAGAACACAAACAAAGATGATATAGTTTAGTGGCCTCCCAAATACCACTGGCGTCAGTGCTCAGAAACTGGTTTTATTGAAATATGGTCCTTCCTTTCTACCTGAAATATTTCTCATTGTCCTATTTCTCCCTCCTATTTCCATTTCTAAGACACTGAGGTGTTCATGATTGTGAAGGAGGGCAGAATTGGAATCTATGTATTAGCACATCAGATATTAGCTGCTCACTTTGCCTTTTATTTGATGGAATTCCATCTTCATGATTATACAAAATAGTTTTCCATTTATTTAGGATACTGATTTTTACAGTTATTTTTAAGAGAAGCTTCTGATAAATGTTTCTGAGGTCATCAGTTTAATAGAATGGATGGGCACATCATCAAAATGTTATTAGTGCAGTTAAATATTTATTTGATATTATAAAGAAATGTAGGATTTTCATAGCTATAACTCAAAAAGGACTCAGAGTAAAACAAAAAAGATATTCCATACTAAACTAGTTAGGGAAAGATGTATGTGACTTAGGTGTAGAAAAAAAGCTCTCCTTGATTTTCTAGACATAGATATATAACAAATATAATAAGTTGAAAAGTATAAGTAAGTATTTAACTTTAAAAGAAGATCTAAATACCAGGGAAAAATTGGTGTATAAGAGGCATAAATAGTTTCAAATTTGCCTGATCACATGGAAAATATGCTTTAACCTGAGAAACTAAAATGTCTTTTGTTCATTACCATTTTGATTTTTTGTATAAGCAATAAAGACATATAATTTATTTTCTACTCAAATATCTCTAATTTATTGTCTAAAAGACAAAGAATGGATTCAGGAGTTTTAAATAACACTAACACCACTTTGTACACCAATGTAATCCTTTAGTATTTATCCAATTTGGTGTTCCCTGCTTGATCAATTACGCCAGTTACCACACTTAGATGTTTGTTTAATGTCATGCGTATAGAAAGAAAGAAAACCACGGGACATATCATTGCTTTTGTCCTATTATCTTTTGTAAGAGTTAGATAGAATCTGAAAGCACTAAAAGTTTGTACCTTAAAGCCTTTTTCAAAAACATGAAAAGCAGTAGAACTCTAATTAACTTTTTTACCAGTGGAAAATAACAATGAACTATGTAAAATATAAAACATTAAAACCTCCCCCCCCAAAAAAAAACTACCCAGATTTACATTATTAATAATTTTAAGGCAGATACAGACAACTTCAAAAATGGAGTTGACAGAGGAGAGTGGAAATTTGTCCTGTTGCTGCAGTTATTGCCTCATTTAGGAAAATTTATCAGTTAGTGGCCCCTTTGGACAACATAATACCTGGTTTTCTTGGTCATGTTTTGTATGCCTAATCAGCAGTGTAAACTAGTTGTTAGAAGGGAAGTAGGGTCATGGCTGTGCCCCAGCTATTCTGCTGTTTGGAAGTAGATTCTTTTGTTGCTGGCGTATTTGTTAGTCTTTTTACATGTCTTGATTTACCAAGTTGATAGAGTTCATTTTTCATCTCTTTGCTATTTCCCTCTTGTATAGTCAGAAGACACAACATCTCTAAGTTACACAGCAACAGGCCTCAAACCAAACACAATGTATGAATTCTCGGTAATGGTAACAAAAAACAGAAGGTCCAGCACATGGAGCATGACTGCACACGCCACCACGTATGAAGCAGGTATGTGAGGAAATGTCTACTTTTAACAGTTGGTAATGGTGTTTCCCAGGTTTCGCAGAAATTGAAACATGTGTGCACTATACTGTCTCAATTACACCTTATTCTATATAAAATATTGTATCCTTAATAGTTCCTAGAACTTTTATATCTAATAATATTCTCCTTACTCTAGAAAAGAAGAAAATGAGTTTCCAATGGATTAAGTAATCTGATTGCATGATTAACACATGGCTTCTTTAGGGTGTTAACTCAGGGGATCTGAAGATATGTCTTTTTAATACATTTAAGTAAAGAGCAGAAATCCATTTTTTTTTTAATACACAGTCTGGCTCTGTTGCCCAGGCCAGAGTGCAGTGGCATCATCATAGCTCACTGCAATCTCTAACCTCTTGCTCAAGCAATCCTTTTGCCTCAGCCTCTCAAATAGCTGGAATTACAGGCATGTACCAGGACACCTGGCTATTTTGTTTTCTATTTTTAGTAGAGACAGGGTCTCGCTCTTGCTCAGGCTGCTCTTTAACTCCTGATCTCAAGCTATCCTCCCACCTTGATCTCCCAGAGTACTAAGATTATAGGCATGAGCCATGGACAACGGACAACACCTGGCCAGAAATCCATCTTTGCACTCTGTCCAAAATAGTTGTGTCTTTATAAAATAGTCATACTAGATACTTGCTATCTTGAAATAAATTAGATGCAAAACCCAACATTGCATTACAGTTGAAGTCTCATGGATATTTACCCTGAATAACCTTAGCTGGATACGAGAAGTTTCTAGGTGATCTTGCTCACTCTTTGGGAATGGGGCAACATAATGGAAAACCTTTATACAATTTAAAATGGTTCAAATCTAGGGTAATACAGTTCACTATAATTTTTGCCAGTCACATTTACTATGGATCTAAATGTAGAGCTTATGATCTTAACAAGGATGCAGTGTACTTGGCATATATAGTTCACAGATATCCAACATCTGAAGAATCCAGAGTTTACCATGCTTTTTAATTGGTTTCATGATATAGCATAGCTGTGTGTAAACTACAGCACAAATTTTCAAATTAAAAAAAATTACACCAACAAAACTCTTCTCTGGGTAAGTTGAATTTCTCTTTGTGTTAGAATTTGTCCCATGGCATTGCAGTTCTAATTTTTTTTTATGTTATTACCTTAGCTATTAGAATTCTACTGCGAGCATTTTCATATATTTATGGGTACTTCTTTCAACCCAAAATTTCTAGTTGGCCTAATTTAATTTTAACATCCTCATCTTATATTTTACATGTTTTACATATATTAACCCTTCCTCTCAGAATTCTGTCCCAGATGCCAATGTTCACAGCTTCTTAGAATAAGACTAGCCAAATGAGTCATATATTATGGGAGAGAATAAGAAGTCTTCTTTTCTCTAGTACTTGAAAGGAGATGAATGTAATTAAATCAGAACCAGGAAGAAAACTGGTCTTCCTTAAGTGAAAGAGTAGAAGCAGTCCTTTCATTTTAATGCAAGCAAATTCATTCATTTTTCCCCTTTCATAAACATAAAGTGCACACCAACATCTGACTTGATAAATGCACCCTCTGGATTTCTCATCTGCTGCCTAACCTTGTAAGGACACCAATGGTGAGACCCATTGCTGACAAAAAGATATTAACTTTTAGAAATGTGGTTAGTAGAAAGGGTGATTGTCAAATCATATAATAATCTGGACAAAGGTGTAAATAGCATGTGAATAAGATTCCTAGGTGATGATGAGAAGCAAGAAGTAATTCACAAGTGTCTGCAGATTTTATAACTGTGAGAAAGAAATGAAGTGAATAAAATAACTTTAGGGTTTGCTTCTAATTCTGCAACAAGATCCAGACTGTATGGGGCTACATTGTTGTGTGCTGAAATGGCTCGTGAGAAAAATAAGGGTGGCTGTCATTCTTTTGAAATAAAACATTTCATTCTGTCCAGATGATAACTCTGTTTTCCTTCCTTGTACCAAGATTCAATGTCCTAGAAGAGAGAATCTTATTGCCATCTCTTTAGATAGGTGATCCCACAGCTAAAGAGAAGATGGGATGAAGACCATAATAGTCTCAATAGATGTTGCTACAAAAGTCACATGATACAGAGGAAAGCTTGTTTACAAAGGAAGAAAACAAGTGTTTCTCTAAAAGGAAGAGGAGGGAATGGGATGCTGGGAAGTCCAAGTAACAAAGGCCCAATACAGTTTTTATGGATGAAGTTTTCCAAATCTAGAATATTACCTTCTTTTCATGTACTTAATAAAGAAAAACAAGTGTGGGAAAAACTTTTTAAGAGCCAGAGAAATCTTTGTCTAGTGAGACAAAGATATTAATTAAGGGTTTTCAATGATGTTCACCTATCATTGTTGGGCCTTGAGTTAGGCACTTGGTATAAAAGGTGAGGAGAATACAGTCTATATCTTTGAGAGAATTTCAATCCAGCAAAGAGGAAAATATATTTAAAAAAAATACTGAAGTAACATGAGAAATATTAATAATCACAAAGTTTTGGGCAAGTTGAAATCAGAGCAAATAGATCAAAATACACATTCTTTCTGGGAAAATAAGGAAAGGTTTAAGAAAAAAAGTGATATTTGAGCTATGGCCTGCGTAAGCCATCAGGCACCCATTTGAGAAACTTCCAAAGGATAGAAAACCACATGTGCAAAAATACCTAAACAGATGTCAGAAAGATGATGTGTTCAAGAGACACTTTTGATTGGCTCAAAGCAACTGGAGCACAGTGTTCATGGGACAATAAGGGGGATATGAAAGAAAGTAGAGTATAAACACTAGAAGATCTGGTATTTATATGTAACAAAAAGAGGATGGGTCGTCAATAAATAATTTCTAAAAAATCCCTCCAGGCAGAACTCATGAGTTGGGAGGAGCATGCCAGAGGTGTTCTAGTTGACTTAGTAGGTATCACTGACATTGTTAGGGCCATATCTTTTCCCAGATATTAGGAAATAATCCTAAACACTTGGGCTATTAATTCACATACTATTAATAGAATTTCTATTTACCAGTGTTCACATGGTTTGAGAAAAAAGAAGAACTGGAACAGCACCTGAAATAGATAAACTATTAGATTTTTTTAAAATTAAATAACCAACTCTTCAATGTATTACTTTAATAGCTGAAGTTGAAGAGTCATTTTGTCCTTTTGAAATACCATTACAGATTCAGTGAAGCAATCTAATCATCATCATTTAACTGTTTTCTAAATAAACATCAATTTGAATTTTAACACAGTTAAGAAAAAATAGGCTATTCTGACTAGTTAAGAAAAACAGATCTTTTAATTATTTCCATAATTGGAAAATTCCTTATTGTGTCTGGTATACTAATCTAAGTTAGGTTATGACTATATATATTACCTTCCTATCTATGGTCTAGAAAATATCTTGAATGAACTCTTTGTGAGAATAGCCCTTCTTCAAGGTAGCATTACCTTTTTGGTATTTTGCAGTAACAAATCTGGTTTTCTCCCAAGAGCATCCTGATCTGGTTTCATTAAATCATGCATGTGTAGTTTCTTTATTCAGGGATCAACTACACATAACCTGTTTTCTTTTCCTCCTTTTCCTCTCCTCCTCCTCCGCCTCTTCCTCCTCCTCTTTTTCTAGTTTTCTTTCTCCCTCCTGTCCTCCTCCTTTTTTGTTTTTGAAAATTAAAATAAATAAAGTACCTTGTCAAGATATTAAGATTAAGTACAATTTTGGTTAACCTGGAATCCCAGTGGCTTTGAGGATCAGAGTATTGGAAAGAAAATCATATGAGGGATAGAAATGATTAGTGTCTCCTCTATTTGGCTCATATTTCAAACTCTGGGAAAAGAAACTGAAAAAAGAGTGTTGATAATGCACAGATTTTGCACCATCCGACAAACAGAAGAACCAAAGAGACTAGAGTTCAGAATTAGAGACTGAGTTCTGCCTATCTTGTGATACGCAGCATTCCTATACGGAGACCAGGAAATTCCTCCAGGATCCAAACATAGAGCCCAGATGTGTTCTGAATCTACACGTGGCAAACTAAGGGTAACAAAGAGACTCTTGATAATAGACTTAGAGCATTGTGAGCCATCTAGAAGGAAAACTAACTGTCTTTCAAAGTATAGACAGTGAAAAAGCAGGTCAGAAGCCTAGAAGATGCTGAACTGGCCTAGCCAGTTTGCTGCCACCTTTAAAATATATTTAAATTTTCCTTGAGCACAATATATGGGAGAAGTAGCTCTAAGAGGGGCAGGATTTCATGCCATCTTCTTTCATGCCAGATTGATACTAAGATACTCATAGATTTATTTTTACCTCCTCTATTTCTGTTTCTCACTTTTGTCTTCTTGTTTAGAATGTAGCTAGTATGTCACCTACTCAAGTTGTTTTGTTCTGAGTTTCAATTCATTTTTTATTTTTTAAGGAAAAATAAAATTTTTTTTATTAGGTGACATTTTTATTCATAAATCCTACTGTTGTAACAGATTTCTTTCTCTTAAAGACATATAGTCATCAATTTCACTAAGTATGCATATGTTTCTTTGTTCTTATTATAATTCTTATCTTTTGAGAGTGAGTCCACTTGAAATGACCAGTTGTATCACACATATTCTCTTCTCCTCTCTCTAATCATATGTTTGCAGTCATTTAACTTCCATGGAAAAATCATTGCTTTTTATATCCATGTTTGCTTATTTAGTTCAAATCCTTGAAATAAATTGTAAATGGCTAAAAAGACATGATACACTTCATGGTAGGTACTGAGTGTCACCATGATGATTAAAAGTCTCACCCACCGTCTGTTTTCTTTCATTTCCAATGACAAGGCCTTGTCTCTGTCTCATCTCGCAGCCCCGACCTCTGCTCCCAAAGACCTGACAGTCATTACCCGGGAAGGGAAGCCTCGTGCTGTCATCGTCAGCTGGCAGCCTCCCTTGGAAGCCAATGGGAAAATTACTGGTAAGCACCTCGGCTTTCTTTCCAAGCATAGCTCTGCCTCGACCTGCAACTGTTCACCTCATGCACTGCTCTTGCCTTTTGTGCAATAGTTTTCCATCTCTGCATCTTAGTTGACTCCCTGACCCCCTCTGATTGGCTCCTCTTGCCCCTTATTGACCGTAGCATTCTTCTAATGGTGCATGCAGATACACACACAGACTCATTTCCTTTGAGTTGCTTCATGAAAGATGTGTATTGTAATTAGGGTAGACCTTTTGTTTTTTATTCCGTAAAGCATTAAGACAACCTTCTAATGGAGTGTTTCTGAGCATAAATGACTAAAAAGAAGCTGGTTGTTTGGCACTTATGAAATTCAAAAGATGCCCAGTGACCATTTATTTTTGTAGGACACATGTGAAGGAGGTTTGTCTTGGGAGTTTTAGTTTCTCACTTAGCTTTTAGCTTCTTACTTAAATCATAAGGTTCAGAAAACATTTAATATTGACTGACGGAAATTGAACATAATGAATATTTTGCAGTGACAGATTTTATTTTGCCAAATATTGCTGATAACATCAATGCCTAATTAAAACATCCATTAGAAGCCTGTAATGTTAATTTAGTATGAAAAATATAATAGAGTTCTATCAGAGATTTTGCATTTAAATGATCACTTTAGGCTTTTAATAGATGTCTCCATAGCATATAATTATTATGAAAAATATTGTATAACTCAAAATGTGCACATTACAGTCTAATTAACTTGAACCATTGGGTAAGGAACATGTAAGAGTCACTCCTTTTTCTTCATTTTTGCATATAAAAGGTGGATAGCACTATTATAAATTAACAAAGTAATTCAGTCATTCAGTGATACAGAGATAAGCAGTTTCAGATGACACACTTACTTTATGTGAATTACTTTCTGAATTTTGCAAAATGAAAAGATAATGGGAAAATTCCAAATGTGATTTAAATTTAAGTTGAAGGTTTGTTTTCTCTAGGAAATTGCTCTTAGTGCAATAGCAAACAGAATTTTCATTTGAGCTGACAAATATGAGAAAAGAAGAGAGGCATAAAATCTCCCCAAGATCTTACATGTTCAGTTGTCAGTGTGCCAGACTTTTTAAAACTGAGGTTGTCTTATTCCAATTTTCTCCTTTGACCCTCGATGTTATAATCTATTTTCATTGGTTCTGTGTTAGTACTTGTGTAGTTTTCATTTTGTTTATATTTTACTTGCTTATGAACAGTTACTTGTAAGGATATGGTAAACCAATAGGGAAGTTTGAGAAGAAAAAACAAAATAAAAGTTGTCTAAACAAAAACAAGTTCTGATGAAAAATATATTTTTAGTGAAGGATAAAATAATTTTTATTCTCCACTCATTTAAATTCTCCACTTTTATTTAAATAAATCTTGTTAGTTAATATAAGCAATAGAGCATGTTTTTGACTGTGAAAGAAAACTTAATTTTGATTTTCCAGGAGAAAATAGAAATCTGGCCTAAAAGAAATGCAAATTAAGTAAGCAATAAAATTTGATGGTGCCAAAATTACAGTGCATGTGTCTAAGACACCTTGGCCACCTACTTTATTTAGAGTTGTATATTTATTAGTTTTCACTACTAAAAATCGATTCTCTCACAATGGAGAAGTAAAAGTATGAAAAACAATACTTTTTGCCTCTAAAAGCCTGGCTCATTTATGAAAACAAAATTGTGATTATCAAGTTGAGACATTTTGATTCAGTTTAACAGGGATCAAACATTAGAAATCCTTAAGAGAACTTCTATTCCATGTATATTTTGATTCTTTTGTTCAAATTACTTCCAGAAAATAAAATGATAAAATATTTAAAATACCAGACCACGAGGCAAAAGGCCCCAATTTGCTATACTCAGCTTCTCATGGAAGTGCAGAGGAAAATGTTAGCTCTTTCCCAGTGTGGCAGGGCAGATGTGTGCCTATGAGGGATGTGCCCTCATGTTACCTTTGTCTTTTTTTTATTTTCCTAAATCTTTCATGTGTACAGCATGCAGTAGAGCAAGGTGGTTAAGAATCCAAGTTCCAAAGGGTAATGCTGGATCAAGTCATTTACCCTCCTTGAGTCTGACTTTCTCACTTTCTCACCCATTAAATAAGGATGGCAATAGAACCTGTCTCTAAGAATTGTTATAATAAAGTGCTGAGGGAAGTCCCTGATGTCCAGTGAGCATTGAAACAAATTGGCTATTATTATTCCAATTTGAAATCCATTCTAGGTTGAGGTTTTACTAATGTGCTTTGAATAGAATCCAGTTATCAATTTGAAAATATAAGTACTTCAAAAAGATTAAACAAACAAAAAAATAGAGGATGAAGGAAGAAATTCAGATAATTCCAGTGCCTAAATTCCCTGATCATAAACTGGCAACTTGGGAATTTGGACTGACATATTCAGAAGTAAATGGTTCAAAATACATTAAGCATTTGGAATAAGCTTGGCATTCCGCTAAGCACTTAAGTATTGTAAGTGATTATATATTTCTGTTATTCTATGGTGAAAGGAAACTATTAGGGCTTTGTAAGGTAAATAACTTGTCCAAAGTCAAATAACCAAGAAGCCAAATAACCAAATAACCTGAGCTACAATTTAAATCTTAGCTCAGGTTTATACTCAGCTATTACACTATGTTTTGCTCCAACTTATTAGAATTCTACTGATCGAAATCAGTGATTCTCAACTAAATTTTTTTTAATGTAATTCATATGAAGAGGGACTTAGCATGGTGACTTTTGAAAGCTTCTCAAGTGATTGTAATGGAAAGCCAGAGTTGTAAAACTTTGGCTTAAATAAATACAGTGGCATAAATAAACACTATTTAAGATCAGATATCAACATAGAAAAATTAGATTTTTCAGAGATTGTTTCCTTATCAATACAGTCTAATGGCTAGAATTATACTCTCTTTTTCTGTGTCATTTAATAGTCTAGTTTGGTTTGTTTCCCTTTTGTAAAATCACCTAGTCACTTTTCTTCCCACTTTCCAGGCTATAGCTTCTCAATCTCATTTGCAGGAATTTCTTCCACCTGTTCCCTACGTGTTGCTTCCTAGAATGCAGATCTTTTTATTCCCTTTGGTACTTTCTCTGAGAAAGTGTCGATAGTAGAGTAAGAGTGTCAGTGAATATCCACTTATATCTTTGAAATCTTTATCTTCATCCAGGAAGAACTAAATTAACATATTCAACTTCATATTATACATCTATATGTGTCTAACATACTGGCACCTCATTCTCTTCCCCAAGCCCCTCTTTCACCTTCATCCTTTTTTTTTTTTTTTAATTTGTCTATCGCCTACTGCAGCTGACCCAATAATTCACTATTATCTCCCATAGTAAGTTGTAAGATCATCTGAGACTGTGGACCCAGCCAGGCACTCACCCTGGAATCAAATGCATCTAAATAGTTTTACTCCTATCTTTTCAAAAGTCTCCATGGTTTATCCAATTGCAAAAGTTGGAAACTTAATCATCGTGACTTCTTTCTCTACATCCCCTTCCTACATAATCATAAGAGAAAATCTAAATGTTTATATTAAATGGCTGAAAATTCCATGTAAGCAGGCTTCAGATATTGTTCAACACTTTATTCCCAGTAACAACATTCTTGACACATAGCAGCTAATTGAAAGTAAACATTTGTTGAGTAAATCAATCAATGCATTAATATTAAATATATTCTGTCTGTTTGACTTTAAACCAAAGATCTAGCTCTTCTAGTGAGACATTTCCTCAAGGTTTAGCAATACTATGGAATAAATTTTTAAGAATAACTAAAGCATTTACTAAGTAGTTACTGTGTAAAAGACAATGTAATAGAAATACCTACCTTGTGTTAAGTTCTTAAAATGTATTATCTCACAGCAACCTGCTTTCAGATGAGAAAACTGAAACATACTTAGATTAAACAAGTTGCTTAAGGTTGTACAGCCAGAAAATAGAGCTATGACTTAAAGTATGATCTTCCTAAATCCATAGCCTGCAATTTTTGACCACAAACAAGGAAAATATGATTTCTTCTTACCTATCTACCTATATACACAATTATCAGAATCAATTTTTCAAGATTAAAAGCCCTTACTGGACTGAGAGCCTTGTTGTTGTCATGCCACATAGCTTGGTTTTCCCAATACTTAACAGTCTATCTAATTTATGGAAGAGAATCAGTCATGAGTGCGAAAAATATGGAAAAGGACTTGAGAGAGGAGAGGTGGAATGGAACACATTCCAACACTTTGCTTCTGAAATTATAACTGCCTATTTGTATAAGTAGAGTCAAAATAACAGATGTATGATGTGAGATTTCATATGCAGTAGACAAATGTAATTTCAATGTGGGAGTGCCCAAATGGATTAACAGTCCCAAAAGATTTTATAAACTCTTATTTGATATAATATTTCTTGATTTGGCCATTGTGGTGGGTAAAAGACAAAAAATAAGCTAAAAAAAGAAAAGGGAAAGGATGGAGAAAGCTCGTGACTTGGACACAGACAAGTATGTAGGTACAAAAAGGTAATGAGAAACCAATGAAGTTCTAATCCATGTGGTTATGTGGAAATCTATAAGGTAAGACTTCAATTATGGATTTGATAATATTTCAAATGTACCAAGCTTACACATACAAATGAAATGCATGTTTTCTGTAAGGCAATTTTTTTTTTTTATTTTTTTTATTTTGAGACAGAGTCTCACTCTGTTGCCCAGGCTAGAGTGAGTGCCGTGGAGTCAGCCTGGCTCACAGCAACCTCCAACTCCTGGGCTCAAGCAATCCTCCTGCTTCAGCCTCCCAAGTAACTGGGACTACAGACATGCGCCACCATACCCAGCTAATTTTTTCTATATATATTAGTTTGTCAATTAATTTCTTTTCTATTTATAGTAGAGACAGGGTCTCGCTCTTGCTCAGGCTGGTTTCGAACTCCCGACCTCGAGCAATCCGCCCGCCTCGGCCTCCCAGAGAGCTAGGATTACAGGCGTGAGCCACCGCGCCCGGCCAGGAGCCATATCTTATATTACTTTTTTATTCTTCAAAAATCCTACTAAAAATAGTGTTCACATAAGATATATTGAAACTCACTTATTGAATGAAATCTTTTGTTCTGTAAGCACATAAATTTTACATTTAGATGTTTAATAAAATTGTTAAAGCTTTTTATGGGCCATTGTAAGTACATGATGAAGATGAAAGTTTGGAGAATTGTGCTTCCATCCCAGGTCAGCCACACTTATTCCTGGTTTTCTTCATTTATCATATGAGAATAGAATATTTGCCTGTGTGATGCTTTTATCTATGTAAAAAATATTCACTCAAATATTTAAAAATGGCAGTTCTGGAATCAAGTAAAGTTGAGTGTGTAAGCACCAGGTTCTGACAATTTCAAATTGTATTTGAGCAATTTCTTGAACTCTATGGCTCTTGAACTAAAGAATATTTTTATCCTTTTGAAGAATCAGACATGCTCATAATAAAACATATGTATAGCTATATATAAACTAGACATTAATGGATGGGTGGGATTTGGATAGAGAAAGTGAAGAAAAGTGGAATGGCATCAGAAGAAGAAGGAAGGTAGAACAAGCATGGTTTGAACAGTCTTCCTGTAGTGAGGGTTTGTGCTGAGATGTCAGAGTGTGCAGAGTTATTATGGCAGAAGGGGGAAGTGAATCCAAATCAGAGAACCCTGTGGCATAACCATTGCAAAGATCTACTATGAGTGAAGGTCCCCAGTCCAGATGTGGCAAGAGGGACTCAAAATGAAGCAAAAGGTGAACCAAAGGGTGACACTTGTTTTTAAGAAAATAATTTACAAATACACAATAGAACTATGGGCATTTGTGGCCTGCGTGATGTCATTGCAGAAATTGGGTAGAAATGGATGGAGGTCAGCACCACATTCATATAGAAAAGACAACCACGATGAGCCCCTTTGCAGTTTCATCTGACAGTGTGACATAAAATTATAAATCAATGCTTTTACATTTGAGCAAGATCACAAATTGGCCAAGCATTAATATAATGTTACAAGATAAATATTTTACAGGAATCCCCAGATTTGTTTGAGTGTATATGAGACTATCATGACTGAGTACACGACTAGCATTCAAGGAACATATTCCTTAACATGGAAAATAAATAACACTATTAAAAGATCAGTTATGGATACTTGAGATACTAACTAGATAACCCACAGTTGTCCTGCAATACTTGTTTATCTACTTAGCTGGACTGGACTAGAGAAAATAGTGTTGGAATTTTAATTTTGTGGTGAAGAATGTCATCCCAGTCCCTTTACCAGCTAGCCTGGGTCACCCTCAGCTTTGTCATCTATGAAAGGACAGCAACATTGCCCCTGACAACCTCCCAGTCATTACAGTAATCAGATATAATCATTTATTTTTATAACATCTTAAATATGTAGGACATTTTATACTTTGCAATACATTTTTTATTATTTAAGCACAAGCGAAAATAAGTATTATTTTCGTTGTTGTAATACAGTGAAAATACTACAGACTTGTTATCCATGTTTTACATTTTTCATCATGTTTCTATATTAGAGCAAACTCATAATTAGGATTTATAGGTGGCAGAAAGCATGCAGTTTTAGATGTGGCAGATATTTTTATTACTAACAGCCTATTCCATTTTCTGATTCTGTATGTTGACGCAATTATTTATCTAATCCTTGAAATATGAAGATAAAGGATATCATTGGAAAACTAAATATTGTAGTTTATAGATTGTGAATAATCACTGTGAATTATATTTGGGAAACACAGGTGTCTGGGAGCAGAACTAGAGCACGCAGTCAGTGCACTAAACACGGTCGTATTCGTCTGTTTATGCAGCTTACATCTTGTTTTATACTTTGGACAAGAACATCCCAATCGATGACTGGATTATGGAAACAATCAGTGGTGATCGGCTTACTCATCAAATCATGGATCTCAACCTCGACACTATGTATTACTTTCGAATTCAAGCGCGAAATGCGAAAGGAGTGGGGCCCCTCTCTGATCCCATCCTCTTCAGGACTCTGAAAGGTTTGAATCATTTCCTATTATGCCTTTCTTCTCCTGTAGGATTGTTATATAATAAAATAGCATTGTGGCCTGTGTTGGAAACGGCCCCGCACCATCTTTGTTGGCAACGTGGTTGCAGTGGACGTGCAAAATAAATTAAATGTACTTCATTATGCTCAAAGCCAACATCTCAAAGAAAGATCTATTGTGTTATCACATTTTCTGCCATCAGGACAAGGCAGACATATTTAACTTGACTTTTTTTCATTTACAATCCTTATGGAACTTTGTATTGATGTCATGTATATTGGTTCTATTCAAAATATAATGAAACCTTTCAGCCATTTTATTTAAGGGAATAAAAATTAAAATGCATTGAGTTATGTGCATAGCATACTATTGCCAACTTTAAATATTTTCTTTCAGGAACTATAGGCTTTCTATATTAAAAGAAATTTTGTTATGGAAAGACAAAAAATTTCAAACAAAACGAGCATGTTCATTTTAAAGATTCAGTGTAGAAACAATGAAAAAATCTTGTAATATGATTATTAGAAGAAAAATGTTCCTACAGAAAAATACTAAGGCCAAAGAAGAGAGATTATGTCAAAATAATTTTCATATAAGTTCTTATTATTTTAGAACACAGTATTATTTTTTCTGAAGGACAAACAGTTCCAAGAATATCAGTTAACAATTCAAAATAATTTGAATGTTTCATAGCTGATATTTAAAGATGTATATTTAAGGCATGATATGTGTTGTTCTAAAGAAGGATAATAGCTCTTAAATCTGTGACATTATACCTCTATATCTGGCAGGAATCGATAGATAATACGTGATGCCAAACAACTGAAAAATCAGAAACATGTGGGCAATTGACATTTTCACCCAGTTTTTTGACATACTAAAAGAAGAGTCATAGAATAACTGTATAGTCTATTTCTCAATTCTCTGAGTAAAGGTACCCTAATAAATAGTGGACTTTTGAATTTTGATGAGGGAACTATCCAAAGCTGGATTTTGGTAATAGCTACTCTGAAAGTTTGCCAAGAACACACAAACACCCATTCAGCCTAAGCCTGCATGACAGTCCTTAATGACAGAGTAGAAGTTGGTAGGGAGGTGGAAAAGAAATGAATGATTCCTTGTCTATCTAGGTTTTGAGGACTTCATGTCTAAATCAGGTTTCAATCCAAATGAGCAATTGAAAGGCAACTGGTTATTCATTTTGTGGGAGCATGAAATGTAACTAGATAGTGCCTTGCAAATGCTTCATCTTTATCTATAGATGAGTGCCAAATTAATTTCACGCTCATAATGTGTGCCAACTCAGAGATCTGAGGGAGGGTTTAAGATGACTTAAGGCATTCAGATCTATTAAACAGCACGGTGATGAGTTATCACAGGATTTACGGGCCCACGTTGATAGCTATCCTGTAGATTATTTAATGAGCTCAATATTTCTTTCAGTACTGTTTACTCTAAGTGCCCTAAACTCATCTAGAAAATTATTTTCAGAACTGAGAACAAGCTCAGGAATTTATTCTATGGCATAATAGTCTGCATAAGTTATTTCTAACTCCCTGATATGATGTATAATGTTGTCTGCCCTGAATATGTCATGCTTGATAATAGTCAGACTTTAAAACGAATTCTACTCATATGTTAAATAAGTTTCTGATGATTTTAAATTACTCAGGAATATTGATATTGCCCACCTTTATCAATAATTTTATAAATCCATGCATCTTTCATGTCATTGACAATGATAAATGTTCTAAAATAAATTACCTCTCATAAAAGATATATAGCCACAATGCACCAAATCTACACCAAAAATATAAAATCATGCTATTGTTCTCTGATTTAAGATTTCCAGTTCCCAAAGCTGCTTCAAAAAATAAGCCTTCTGTTCATCAGGATGTAACTTTGTTTGACAGAGAGAAAAGTTTAGGTGTTGTCCTGAAGCTGAAAAAACTCCCAGTAGTCTACTGGGTAATAGACAAGAGTTTTCATTACAAACCTTGCTCTAGGCAGGTGTCCATGAGCTTCCTTCTTTCATATTTAGTCTTTGCAAAGATAGCAGCATTTTCTACTAGACATTAGAGTTTTGTTTTTTATTTTATTTTTTTGGTATTAACAACCAGCCAAAGAGGTACAGGAAATTCAGACACCAATCACTGTGGACAATTATAATTAGAAAGGGATTATTTTACTATAAACTATGCACATATATATACGTGATGTGTCTAATACTTTCTTTGGAATGTTAATTAAAAGAATCTTGGACTTAACTCTCTGACCACATAGGACTCTGCAAATACCACCTCCTTTCCACAAATCCTCCCTGGCTTCCATTGGGATGCTTATACACTATCAAACCATCGGAAGACATGTCTATCATTGCCCTATCCTGTGGGTGGTTCCTTTTAATACAATATGTTTCTCCATGTTGGCCTACCAAGTAACAGTGAGGAAGGATACTTCCAATGTAGCAGACCCCAGAGGATTCTTGTAGATGGAACAAATCACCTTCCACACACACAAAAAAATGGAGTCTTCAGAGTGAAAGCCTGATAGAGGACAGTCGATTCCCTGGGCATTCCTTAATTATCATTCTGAAATGAGCCTCTCCCCTAACCAAGAATATGGCATTGAAGGTTCTGTACTAGAATAGAAAAAAGGTTTCATTTTGAAATTACTTTATAACAAAATATGTGATTTTCTTGACAAATGTAGGAATAATTAAAAATTGTTAATCAAGGCACAAATCACCAAAGCTTAAAAAAGCTTTTAAACAGCTTTTTTGTCTTTAATAAAAGGTAACTATGAGAATCCATTTGGTCCTTCTACAGCCATACCACCCTGAACGCACGTGATCTCATCTGAACTCAGAAGCTAACCAGGGTCAGGCCTGGTTGGTACTTGGTTGGGACAATCCATCTGGTCCCTATTAGGAAATATTTTTCAGTAGATAACCTTTTTCTGAGACATTCAATATTTCTTATGTTATATTCAGTCCATCTTTGCTAACAGAAAAATCCAGAAGATAAGAATGAGGATGGAATTTTTTGCCATGACAATATTTATTTTTCCCTTGCTACATATAAGAATATCTTAGGCTACAGACAGTGTAAATATATGATTAAAGTTAAAGGGAATGGAGATGAGATGAGGTTGATATATTTTTTTTTACACCATTCCAAATGTTTCTATCCTAAAGATGAGGTACTGATTAGGATAGTTTCTAAGTGTGTTCTGTTCTGACTATCAAACCTGTACATTTCCTGGATGGTATGGCCACTTATGACCCTGACATATTCTGCCTTGTTCTTCCTGGAAACCTGGTATAGTACATCTGACAACACGGTGTCCTTCTTCAGAAGCCACATTAGGATCTTAGTTCAATATCTTATTCCTGTCCATTAACTACATAGAATGCAATTGCCTGTAAATATCACCTTTATCATCAAACCCCTAATACTATAATGAAATGTATTTGGAGAAATCATTAGTTTTCAATGAGAAATGGAAGGAAAATCAAGATAAAAATTAATTGTGGTGGTTAGATTATAAAGATTAGATTAGATGCCTGATGAATTAAAAAAAAAAAAAACTTCTTAAATCTTGAAGAAAGATATGATGGCTCATACCTGTAATCCCAGCACTTTGAGAGGATGAGACAGGAGGATCACTTGAGGCCAGGAGTTTGACACCAGCCTGGGCAACATAATAAGACGCCGTACCTACAAAAATTTAAAAAGTAGGCGAGCATGGTGGGTCACACCTGTACTTCTAGCTACTCGGGAGGCTGAAACTGGAGGAGTACTTGGCCCTAGGAGTTTGAGACTATAGTGAGCTAGAACCATGCTACTACACTCCAGCCTGCCCAACAGAGTAAGACCCTGTCTCTAGGATATTTATAAAACTTATTTAAAACTTACAGGGAGTGCCAAATTCTAACCACTAGACCACCAGGGGGCGTTAAGATAAGTTTTACAGATTTACTATGTAGCATAGTTCCTATAGAAAAAAATAATATATTGTATACTTAAAATTTACTAAGAGGGTACATTTTTAAAAATTATTTCAAAATACAACAGGGGTACAAATGTTTTTGGTTACATGGGTCACTTTTGTTATGCTTGAGTCAGGGTTAGAAGTGTGCCCATTACCCAGATAGTGTTCACTGTACACATTAGGTAGATTTTTGCCCATCCCCTCATCTCCTCTTCCCCTTGCTTGATATCCAGTGAGTTTTACTTCCCTATGTGCACATGTGTGCTCATTGGTTAGTTCCAATTTAATAGCAAGTATATGTGGTGTTTGTTTTTCCGTTCTTTAGATACTTCACTTAGGATAATGGTTTCCAGTTCCATCCAAATTGATGCAAAAGGCATTAATTCATCCTTCATCATAGCTGAGTACTATTCCATAGTATACACAAAACACATTGTGTTAATCCACTCATAACTTGATGGACACTTGGGTCGATTCCACATCCTTGCAATTATGAATTGTGTTGCAATAAACACTTGCATGCAGTTGTCTTCTTGATAAAATGACTTCTGTTCCATTGGGTAAATACTCAGTAGTGGGATTGCTGGATCAAATGGTAGGTCTACTTTCAGTTCTTTGAGGAATCTCCATACTGTTTTCCACAGAGGATGTATTAATTTGAAGTCCAACCAACAGTGCATAAGCATTCCTTTCTCTCTGTATTCACATCATCATCTATTGTTTTTGGACTTCTTAATAAAAGCCGTTCTAACTGGGTAAGGTGATGTCTTATTCTGGTTTTAATTTGTATTTCTCTGATGATTCATGACGTTGAGCATTTTTTCATATTTTTGTTGGCCATTTGTCTATCTTCTTTTGAAAAGATTCTGTTCATATCTTTTGCATACTTTTTAATAGGGTTGTGTGTTTTTTCCTTGCTGATTTGTTTGAGTTCTTTGTAGATTCTGGATGTTAGCCCTTTATCAGATGTATAGCTTGTGAATATTTTCTTCCATTCT